CCCCAAAACCCCAAAACCCCAAAACCCCTAAAGGGATGTATCTGAGATAATTAGGTGAATTTTTTAAGTAATTAATTATGCTTATATTCCAAATACTCCATTCTAGCGAAATTGCTCCTTTCAGATTTCTTCGTCATCATCACTTGAATCACTCCCACTGCTATTTGAGCTAGAACTATCTGAATCATCATCTTCTTCTTCAACACTCTTTAATGGAAGAGCCTCGGGTTACTTTATAATTTAATTTGGTGTTTTGTAGTAATCCTCATCGTCGCCACTCTCTCCTCCATCGTTTATCTTTGGCAATTATTCAACATGAACAACTTTTGCCTCATTGATGCTTAATTTCTATCTTTTGTTCGCTGGATGATCAAAGTATTCTCTTTCTAGTTAGTCATGAGCCTAATCAAGAGTTCTCTTAGCACCAGTTTATCCCCTGACTTATTCTTCCTCTGGACTATCTGCTCTTTCTCTAGTAAAGTTGGTGCTTACAGGTTTGTTTCCATTAGCAGATTTATTCTTCTGGTATTATTTGAACACATGACTATCTCCTGTCATCGTGATATTAGCTTGCTAGATTTTTTACTGAGCTTCATTGATTCTCTTAATAAATCTCTTCTAGTTTCTGATAAATATACTTAATAGAAAATAGAGACTACCTTGATGATTTAGGAGGTGGTTTGACAATAATCTTCTTAGTAACATTACCCTTGAATAAGTGGAACTTTTCGAATTGAGCATATGACTATCTATTTGTTAGATTTTCAATTGACATTTCAAAAAGTTCATTTCCAATTGCTAGAGAGTAAGTTCCATCTGACCATTAGACAATCTTAGCATTACTCTCAATCTATAATTATCAGCTAGATTAAATGTTTTAAAGATTTACCTTTTTATTGTTTGGCGTGTAGAGATCCATCTTAGCATTAAGTTCTGAAAAATTAGGCTCTTTGCCAAACTTAACTGCATCTTTATCATTAGGATCAACGTAACGCCATCTGATTATATCTTCAATGGCGCAAACTTTGTCAGTAGGGATTCCTTTCTAAATTAAACTCAATAAGGTAAGTAAAATTACATCGTTAATATACTCTATGGGATCTTCCACTTAATAGCTTTTGGCATCAAACTCCTTTGGCTGAATTCTGAGGCAAGACGGAAGTTTCAATTCAATCAAGTCTACCTGAGAATCAGGCATGAAACTCGCAAATACATTCTTAGGTATTAATCTGCTTCCTTAAGCGGCCATAAATGTAAATAATTAATAAATTATAATTATTAATTTTTAAATACCTATCTCAATCATTTAATTTGTTTAGAGGGTCTAAAATCAAAGGTCTTGATATTAGCCGCATTTTATAATTTCAATTCAGCAGTGTTATTTCCTATATTCATATAGCTCATACTTACATCCTCTTGACCTGTCCTATTTAATTCATTATCAATTAAAGGCTAGTAAATCTACTCAAGAACATGCAAAGTTTTATTTCTGCTCTAGACTGCTTGCTCTAATGTTGCAGAGGGATTAATATTATCTTTCAAAAGATAGTTTTTTCTCTTGTCAATGACAAGATTGTTTGTGGTCCGAGAGGATTAGAAGCCCTACATTCCAGCTGGGGATTATTCTTACTGCTATTAAAGTTAAGGGTTTGAAGAGTGTAGTTGAGAGAATAGATTATTTCTTGACTTTTGGTTCACAGTATTAGCAAGTAACTTTTATTCAGAAGTAAGGTGATTTTTAGATTGTGACTTTTTGAATTTATGTCCATTTTAGTTAACAAGCAGACTTCCAGGAGTGCTGCTTGAAAATAAGCAGTAAGTCGTGTGAGATGGGTTAAGATTTTGATGTTCCGAGAATTTTCTATTTTATAGAAGGAATTATTGATTTTAGTTTGCTCTTGAAGTTCGTTAAGGTCTAGATATCTTAGGGTGAGAAACTAATGCTTTTGGGTTGTGAAGTTCTACTAAGGAAGAACTATCAACTTTATTTTAGATAAGCTCTTCAGGTGTCATTAGTAGTTGTTGCTGTTGTTGAATAAGTGAATCTTTATCGACCAAGATATCTCTAATGCTCATCATCTGTATATTACTTCCTCTAGTTTATGATTATCCTGACATTAGCATGTTGTTAGTATTAGAAGTTGCCACCCTTCTCTTCTTTTTCTTTTTGGACATACTATCTTTTTTGTTTTTGTTATAATACTCAAATATTCTGCTAGTTCTTCTGAGTCTTCGCCGACTTCCTTAGATTTCAAGATCTTTGTCCATTTAATCATCATCTTAATCATCTATATCCTCTTTGCTATCTACTAAGCCGAATTCCTCCACGATCAATTCATCGCCTAGATCTTTTTAGTCATGATTTCTTGAATCTTAGGAGTTGACTCTAGAATTTTGACTAAAGGTCATTTGCTCCGTTGTGTCACTCTCTCTATCTACTTCTTACAAAGCCTCCAACTCTTTTCTTTTCTCATCCAAAAAGTTATTCACAATTTTATTAGTTGAAAATGAGTCTCCTGTTTAAGACCCATTCTGCCCGGTATGATAATTGTTGAAAATAATCTGTGGGTTTTATGAACTATTACTTTGGTTCATAAAAATAAGCGAATGCATCTTGGAAGGATAGTCTAGGTATTGGTATTGAGATTGAAGTAGAAATACTTGCCCATTATTACCTCCACCTAGGCTAATTTGATTATTTGTGCCCTCAACATTAAATATTTCACTGACTTCTTAGCCAAGGTTCATGTTGCAATGAGCTGTAAATGGAGCACAACTATTCATTACTCCTGAGTCCCTATGATTTCCAAAGTGTTTTTATGTGCTGGAACTACATAGACCGAGTACATCTAGAATGGTTCTTTCACTTGGAGATTCAAATAGCTATCCTGTTGAGGAATCTCTTCTCATTATTTTCCCACTTGAAAGTGACTTGAAATCTTAGAGTAAGGAACCACTCTCTGGCCTATTTTGATTTTAGTGTTTCATGATATGTGACTACTATTTACTCATATTATGATAACTTGATAAAGAGAGGGATCTTTACTAAAACAGAAAGTGCTTTTTCCTAAAATCTGATTCATTAATTCTTGATACACTTTCATCCAATTCCTGTTCAATTGGCGCAAAAGGATTCAATTTAGGCTACGTATTTGTATGAAAGAGCATGGGAATTCTAAGGTCATTTACTGATTTTTATTTTGACAAATTTCGGATTGAGTCTGATCCTCGTTACAATTGCAGCTCATCTAGTCTTAACCTCAAATCATGGTTTACTATTGATTATGAGTCATTTACTATACTAAAAGAAGATTCTTCTTTTAGTTTAACCTGATTCAAAAGCATCACATTTCCTAATCTTTCCATCTCATAAATATCCATATCATTTCCATAATATGAGTCTTCTTTTTTACTCAAGTTTACTATCATAATTTCTTGTTGTTAAGGATCAAGATTCTATTGAGCCAAAGTATTTACGACAAAATGTTGTGGAATTGGTGAATGATTATTTGGATACTGAGAGGGCTGATTTCTTCCTCTCTTACTATTTTAGCTCATTCTTTTAGTTTGGATTTCAGCAGACTTTCTTAGATTTTAAAAATCTTAAACTGCATTTTGTTCTTGCGCTCTATCATTTACTTACTAAACTTCTCTATCTTCTAAAAGTGCGACTGCATCTTCTTCAGAAGCAATAAAGAAGTTATTTTGATTTTTGTGTCTAGTAGATAGAGGTTGTTTAATGCTAAGAGGAAGTACAGCACTCTATCTTTTATTTTTCTCAATTAATTCAGTTTCTCTTTCCAAGTGAGAAGGACTCATGTTTACTTGAGTCAATATTTAAGTATTTAGTCTGCTATTACTCCCATTTTGGTTGGATGAGGGACTCTTGATTGTCTTCCTCCCAAGTCTATTATTATTTTAAGTGCGCTGAATTCTTTAAAATTAGGTGAGATTATCAATGCTCTTAATAGGAATGGCTAACTTGGACTTAATTTGCTAATTAACTGTGCTAGTCGGAATAGTGTTTGTAAAATGCGGAGGGGATAACTGATTATTTATCTAATGAGAATTAGGAATTGAAGATTAATTTTGAATTTTGATATTTTTCCTCTAACTTCCACTGTCATTTCTACCACTGATAGATTTACCAGTCAATATTTTATTGGTTGAAAGTGTATTTGAAGCCTTAGAACTGGATTTAGTATTAGATTTATTTGTGAATAGAATACTTTGAGATTTCTAATTCATTTAAGCTCTATAATAAATTTCTCTCTTTTGATAATAAATAATTTAATTCATATAATAATTTCTATCCAGCATTGCGGGGTTTTGGGGTTTTGGGGTTTTGGGG